TTTTTTTTCTGTTTTCTAAAAATTTGTTTTAAGCTTTTCTTAGCGCCATTTGTTTTACATCAAGAATGCTTACGTTAAGTTCAGCTAAGCTGTAGTCAATATTTGTACTTCACCGTAAATCATTTTCTAAGAGCTCCATAGTAATTTGTCTGATGCCCTTTTATAGATGTAGTTCGAAAATAAGCTTTTTCAGAGCTGAGCCGGGGAATATGAAAATGCTGTTCAAAAAAGCTGTTGCTTTATAATGCATTTTTGACATCAGTTGTAGCCAGATCCCAATTTTTTATCCTCTTTGTCTTCGGCTACAAGAATAATTAGAGGACCATATCAAATATCAAAACTATTCTATCACTTCAGTCATAATGTATTTTTTTTAAGGATATGGCACCCACAAAAAATCTACTTGAAGTAGTAAAAACTGTTAAACCCGAAGGACTTATAGGTGGGATTTCCATAATTTTTTCACATACTAGTATTACTTAGACGACTTTTAGGTGCCTGCACCGTGGGTGGAGTCTTTACTGGAGAAATTATTAGTGAAATGGCTAAAAATCATCCGCGACCTATTATTTTTGCTCTATCAAATCCAACATCGAAAGCGGAATGTACGGCAGAAGACGCTTATCAGAAGACGAATGTGAGCTAAGATGCTGCAAAGTTACGCAAAAAACGTAATTCTTGCAGGGATCAGTTCTTTTCGCTTCGGGATCACCGTTTGAAAATGTGGAACTCAATGGTAGAATATACAAACCCGGACAGGGTAACAACGCTTACATCTTCCCTGGTGTAGCACTAGGAGCAATTCTATTCAAGGCAAAACATATACCAGAAATGGCATTCCTTCTTGCAGCTAGGGTGAGTTCACATTTTATATTTTTTACGCCTTGTCCAAGATTTTTCGGGAATTTTGTAGCGTTGCGCCAGTTTTGTTTCTAACAAACAATTGGAAACCTATGCGCGACTCTATCCTCGTCTCAAGGATATTCGAGAACTTTCTGTCCTCATAGCCAAAGATGTGAGTCACCAAAACTTTTTTTTGATTATTTGCCAATAATGCCACTTCTTAAGGTCGGCAACTACTTGTATGAGCAAAATCTAGCAACGCTCCATCCGGAACCAGAAGATAAGGTTAGAATTTTTTGGTAT